ACAATAGTTCTTAGTAAGCCTTGTAAATTATTAATTTGCTATTATAGTGTATTTTTGGCATTATGATTCTGCCATATCTTTTTGTAGACTTAATCCCATAAATAATTTTATATACATAATATCTATATTATTGTTAATGGATTTGTGTGATATCATATGTCTTGATAATAAAATGATCCTTTAACATTTCTTTTAAATCTATAGGCTTGTAATGCAGGAGAGAGAAGATGGAACCAGTGATGAAGATGATGTGTTGGATGCCATGACACCTTTAGAAATGGTCAGAGATGAGCCACTTCCAGTTACACCCACTTTAAAGAACGCTGATCCAGTACCTGGCGTATCAGCTACAACTGTTGTTACACTGCAGCAACAAGTGTGGCAGTAACATTTGCTACAACATCAACAGTTGCATTCCCAACAGCAACAGCGGGAGCAGCAGCAACCACCACCACAGCAACTGCAACCACCACCACAGCAACGGCAGCCACCACCACCACCACAGCAACAGCAGCCTCCACCACCACCACAGCAACAGCAACCAAGCTACCCTAAACTGAGCAGGCTGGAGGAGCAGGCTTCTCGTACTGAAGAACTTGCTTTAGTCAGACAAACCAAAGTTATTTGTTCTCTAGATTTACTCCTGGATTTGTTTAAGACCTGTTACCATCCTGGTTGTTGCCAACCTCTCATGCCAAAACACCATCTTATTGGCCCAACAGTATTTATAAATTGGACATGCACTCATGGTCATAAGGGAAAATTTTCATCATCTAAAGATATCAATGACATGTATGCCAATAATCTTCAGGTTGCTGCTTCGATTCTTCTCTCTGGAAACAACTTCTCTAAAATTGAAAGGATGTGCAGTTTCCTTGGTCTGTCATTCTTCTCAGATTCTACATTCTACGGAATGCAGCGTCTGTATCTGGTCCCCTGTATTAATGAATGGTGGAACTGGCAGAGAGACCAACTAATTGAGGAGTTCAAAAGTGTGGAAGTGGTGGTCTGTGGTGATGGCCAGTGTGACTCCCCAGGACACACTGCCAAAACCTGTGCTATTTTCTAATGGAGCTTGTAAGCGACTACATACTGGATGTAGAAGTTCGGGATAAATGCCATGTTGGGCTGGCATCCACAAATATGGAGAGACAAGCTCTACTAAATGCTCTTCAAAGACTACGCTCCTCCATAAACGTAGTGGAAGTTGTCACTGATGCCTCAACATCAATAAAGAAGATGATTGGTAAGATACAATTTACATGTAATTTGAAGTGTTCATGGTGTTTGCAGTTGATTTGCCAAATCCATGCTCATTCAACCATTTATGGGACTTGTCAGTTCTAAATAATTTAAATGTTCAACTATTACATAGTATATAGTATTATTGTGTCAGCCACTATCTACTTCGTGAGCAACAACATATTCCAGGTGAAAATACTTGGCTGGAAGAAAGCACAGTAATTATTATGTTATTCACAACATTCATATTTGTACACAACTGGTGTGAATGGAGTAGGGATTGAATGTTATTATATGACATGTTTGACATTGTGTAGCTGTGGTTTATCTCCATATTCTGAAATTAGAAGGGATTTGAATCTGTTTTTTTTTGCGGGGGGGGGAGGTGGGGAGGGTGTTAGGTAAGAAGGTCATTAGAAAAAATTCCTTTCATGGTAGATGTATGGATGAGTTATGGAACTGTTTGAGTGTATTAATTTCTGGTTTGTTATGGCTTGTACCAGCTGACAATTTCACAGCAGTGTTCCACAGCCTTGATGTTTGGCATAAAGCCAAAAGTATTCGCAAGTGCTTGGCAAAGGTATAAAAATTAATATAAGTGGTGTTTATCTTTTAGGCAACAGTTAATGAAGTAAGGTGTATATCATTTTGGTGATCTGTGCATGACAGTTTGCCATTTAAGCACAGTCAGTTTTAACATGTCCTTTATGTGTATTTTTTGTTTGCTGAACTTGTGAGACATTTTCACTGTAGATGCATCCTACACTATATTAAGCATGTAATGGCATTTTCGCCACATTAAAAGTTGTTTCATTTTGGGCTTTCCTGGTACACCTTCGCTAAAAGGGTGACTAACATGTATGTTTTGGTTTCCAGGTTGGAAACCTGAAAAATAGGGGGAAAATACAGACCTGGTCTGATCATATCATAAACCACTTTTGGTACTCTGCCAGCATTTGCAAGTCAACAGCTACAACAAGTGATGACGAAGCTCTGAAAGTAATGAAGGTGATGCCTCTCCCTTGTATGGTAGATTTTGTCAATATCCACCAAATTGTCAATACACAAAAACAATGTGAATGCTGAATTAATCAACATGCCACAAGCGTGGGATAAAGAAAAAATCTGAGTCCTCAACACCAATCGAAGCCATGACCTCCCGGACACTGGGTGGGTGCTGTATCCACTGAGCTACAACAACCCTTGGAGAGCAAAGTCATTTAACTGATTTCATATGTGACAGGCATTCTCAATACTGCTTGGACCAGCACTGTCGATATACACATTCATTACTGACACAGGTTCAATGAAAAATTTTATCTATCTAAACTGTATTACATCTTTTTCTAGGATACCTGGATTGGGATACTACATCATGTATGTAATGAACACGAGTGGGTGGGTGGCAAATGTGGCCATGGAGATTTGGTTCTGGAAGAACATAGTCTTGCATGGTTCGACCGAAGAGATAAAGACTTTGAAGCTTTGCAGAAAATAGTGCTAGAGCCTCAACTCCTTGCTAGCTTCAAGTTTTACGTGCGATTCAGGTAACTGCACATGCACTAATAATATGATGGTGAGATATATCTTTATATTGGTGTGTAACAGCCTACCCATAATGTGTTACAAGACATTTAATTCATTGTCTTGTAACAATACAAAAACACAGAGATCAATAAACAAACGCAATCACTATGACATAGAACAAGTTTGTCATATCCGTGTCCTTATTGGTGATTTGTATGTCCTATTCTTTCAGACACACAGGCAGTCTTGAATGTGCAAATAGCCTTTCATTGGTTTACACTCCAAAACGGTGTTCGTACAGGTTTGTAACAGAGCAGTGTAATGATTATTGCGGAAGATATACTTTTTGCAGATGATATGGGAAAACATACTGGCATTCACAATCAGCGTAATCAACATGTACCTTGCATGTGTTCATCTTCAATCTAAAGCCTTAAAGTTCTGCCTTTGATTTGTAATTTGTAATGGCTTTGACAGATTTACTTTTACAACCTTTCCTGGTAACACTAAGTGTGATGTTGAATAATGCAATGTTTTTGCATGTGTGTGATATGACATTGTTCAATGATCTAATAACATGTTCCATAGAAAGCTGGTCAGACTTGCAATTGCATGAGAGAATTGCCTGTATGTGAATTTACACTTGATGTAGTTGTTATCATTAGGCAACTGTTGAAATGAAAAAAGCTGTGTTTTTCTTCTCTCATTTCTTTAGCTACAAAGTGTACAAAGCTAGGAAGCAATTGGCTGCAATAGATTGGAACTTTCATGTGAACTTGGAAGGAGCCACCACCAAGACTGGCGATGTTATAGTCACAAGGAAATTACAACCAGCCGACAAAGGAGTGGAACTCCAAGGTTGTCAAAGTAAAGAAAAATTATGACTACATTCCATTGCTAATGGGGAAGGTTCTGAGAGCAAGGAGTGAAGATGTAGACATAGTAACCCGACAGGTTTCACTAAATGAGAGCGATCCCGCATTACTGACCCCAACCATTGCAGCAACACCTGCTCCATTATCAAAGGAGCTCTTCCTTGCAAGGAAGAGTAGATTCAAGCCTTCAGATGACTGAAGCTATAATTTCTGACTTGGGTTTTAGTGCTTTTGTTACAATCTGCCACTGTGATATCTGGCTCCAGTTGTTCAAAGGATGGAAAAAGGCATGTTTTCCTAAATATTCTGATAGCTATCTACCATCCCATTGTTTATTGGTTGCTCTAGGATAACAATAGTCCCTGAATAAGTTACACACTTTATGGATAGCATTTTATTAAAATAAAATTCGTCCTGTCTACAATCTATTGTCTCTTTTTGTGTATCTGGAGCCATGGAAACAGTTGTCTTTCAATACTGTAAAATAATAAATAATTTTTATAGTACACACTTCAAATCCAAGTGGCCTTAAACACACAAAGTGTATATTTTACACTATATGTACAAATATTCTCTCATTTCAGTAACAATAACAGTATAACAAGCATTGGCCTTCTTTATGTAAAAGTAGCAAGTACATGAAGTGGTGTGGTTGGTGAAATTTTTTAATGTCAACTATGTATAGAGCATGCAGCTTTAATTTCAGCATAACAAACAAAAACCTATCCTACATGTGCAATGATAAATAGGAAAACTACGTGCTAAGATAAATAAACAAAACAAAACAAATGCAGCCTCCACTATTCTAATTTATTTTTTTGTGGGCTTTTCTGAAAGAGAAAAGAGCTTGTTCTTTGAAACATTCTCAAAACCTCAAATTCTTTAGCTTTGCAACAACTTGACAGCAAAAACCCTTACAAACTGGGGTTTATATGGGTTAAACGCTGATAAAACAAAACCAATTTAAATTATATTGCTGAATGAAGCAACTGGGAAATTTACTGTTTCATAGTGTACAAAATCAACTGTCAAATTCTAGCAGTAAACTTTGTTTTTTTTTTCTGTAAATGGAGTGACAAATTTACACCTCACGTCACAACCCAAGATGCTGAGAACACCAATTTCATGTTCACCTGATAAATTCAGAATAATGTCCTCATTCAATTCTTTGATAGAACAAGATAATATTTGGTCTCTCAAGAGGGGATTTACTAACTTTGAGGATGGGAAAAGAGCTAAAATCTAGAATTCTACAGCAGCTTAATCAGCCCGGAAACCCATATAAACACCAGTTTGTGATGGATAGTGGCGACGTATCACAGTCACCACACAGGAAGGACAGACCTTTCTGTTTCCTTTTCCTAAATAGCCGTACTGATCTAAAAAACATACTGGCGATATGCTGCGTTTCTAGAGGCACGGGTGCTGTTGTCGTCGCGGTCGTTCCTGATGTCACCCTTATTTCTGATGGCTAACTGGAGGACATCAGGATCTAAGCAGAGTTTGGAAAATCTGCTGTGAGTAGTCACACACCTTCGCTGTGCACAACACTTATTTTCAACCTCCTGGGGCATTATTTGGCATACCCCACACTTGCACCAGGGCAAGGTTGCTGTTTTACTGGGGCGAGGGCCAGGATCCGGTGTGGCTGCATCTGTGGTGCAAGCCATCAGTTCTTCTGTCAAAGTGCCAGGGGTGGTTGAAACACTTCTTTCATTTGTTCCAATTTCATCATCAAGGTCATCCTCCATGATCAAGAGGCCATGGATGTAGTCCATGCTGCCTATTCCCCTGCGCAAACTCCTGATGCATAGTCTCATTACCATTGCATGGTCCAGTGTTTGGACAAATTCCTGAAAGGACATGTAAGTGTGAGCAATAGAGGAACAAGTACAATACTTTGTGGAGATCATGATGAGTTAGGCCTTTGATATCCTACAACACAGAGCGAAATTATCACTTTTGCTGGGTATTGGGGAGGGCAAGGGATTGAAACTTGAATAAGCCTTTGAACAAGCCTTTGAATGAGTGATTTTGAAGTTCTAATATTTTCTGGTCTATTACAATATGTGGTAATGAGATATAGTTTATAGTTTATGTATCAGCTTACCTTCACATCATTGTTTTCCTTTATTCTTTCTTCCTCTTCACTAGGCCTGTTTTCAGCCTGATAAGGCTGAGGTCTTCTTTGCGTTCTTGCTTCCACCAGGCTATAAGAATAAATGATACATGTAAACAGTTCACTGACTGAACAACAGCAAGACATTTTCTTCCAAATAAACCCTTCCACTACACTAGAATCATCTAAATGAATAAAAAGGTTCTAAAATGTAAACACATGGATGCTAGCGGCATTACAAAAGCCACTTATTTGCATCTGGCTGAATAACACGGGTGTTCCTTGTCATGAACCTCGTGCAAAGCAAGCTTATAAAATGAACTAAGTTCAGAAAGAGAAAGAAAGGGAGCAGAATATAGTTATACCATTCGTGTTCAGCTTCCGTTAGCCATTTCAAAATCAAGTGCACAAATCAAAGAAATCTCACCTGATTTCGACATGGTTTTGCTGTCGATCCACACGAGCAATCGCTCCCACATGCGACACCTGCAGTCTTACAAGGGCAGCCACGATTTGCGTTCGCAGTCTGTTTTGTGGAGCAAGTTCTCTTGCATGAACAGGACATGCGATTGTCCTAAACAAATGAAATTGCGGATGTGAGAAGTGACCGATCCGTCACAGAATATGCCTTGAAAGGACGAAAATTTAGACAACGGCTAATCGATATCGAAAGAAACTCACCACTGCAGTCTCCCTTGCCCCTTCAGCATCCATTATTTCGTATTAATTGCGTCTCTCTTCAACAAAAATCGATACTTACAAAAAGTACTACACCAAAACAAGTAAAAAGCCTCAAAACATGGACAAAGAATGGCTATTATGCAGGCAAAATTTTCGCATCTCGCAAAATTCAATATGGCGAATACTTGTGAATCATAATGGAGTGGGGCCAAATGTTGCACATGCGCAGGTCATGACGCAGCCCCTTTAAGCTGATCTATCGCAACGTCTTTACTTATGATCTGAGTCTCAAGTTCCCTGACTTTACTTCTAAATACTTCGACAAGAGTGCACTGTTCCACTATATCTTGAAGTAAACTGACAATAGGTGCAGATCTAACTGCATCGCTCGAAGAGATTTTAGTAAGTTTTAGTATATTGTAGCAGTGACCTGATGTCTTGTCTTCAAATTCTTTTGCACCTACCTTTAGCAATTTTACCACTCCAGCTGCTAGACAAGAGAGGGTACTGGTAGTGGCTGAAGTTGATGCTAATAACACTTCCATAGCTTTTCTCGTCAATGCCAATTCTTTCTCTGAAAAGTTTACGATGTTATTTCTCACTATCTTCTCTATTGGAATGTCAACTTTGCTTTTACTCAAATCTTTCAGCTTGGATAACGAGGATTTAGTGGAAGTGCATGATCGAACTACTGAATTCCCCAAACGCGCACCAAGTTCTCTCTCTACTTGTGCCCTTGTCTTGGATGCGACCTTCAATAATAATAATTATAATATAATATAAATACCTGTGTAGCAATACCAACAGAAACTTAAAGACACATTGCCTTCAGCTACTTTAAACTTAGACACTAGCTTAATGTCTAAGGAAAGTGTACCTTGTCTAGTGTGTCTTTCTCCAATAAAGTCGAAAGCAAAGAAGGCGACATAGACGTAGATGTCACTTTTCAGTGTGGGAGTTTGAGGCTGTGAATTTGGTTTACCCGTCTTTGTAAAAAAAGCATCCAGTGACTTGCATCCTGTTAATTAAGAAATGAGAATGAATGTGGTTTTTTGATATCTTTATGGACAGTAGGGTTTTTAACCCAAATCTCTCCTAATCTCATACAAAAAGGCCCGGAAACCTCAATTACCCAGGTGATTATCACGAGATTGTTAGCTGTGTTCAGTCTGTCAACACCTTATTCGACTGGTACTTTCTCATGGTGTTCAAGTCCTGGGTCAAGTACGACACACAGCCGGACATTGTGGTTGTTGCACATGGATCTAACAGCTCTCATACAAATCTCCTTTTTCCTTGTAATGGCTGAAGGAACAGATTCCACTGAAACAATGAAGGTCATACCAAAGTTTACTCTGAACTGATTTTCCCTGTCGCGTCTTTTTGGAGTTTTATTAACTTAGCTAACTGATTCATTGTGATTCCTCACTTATAGTTGAATGTTGAAATACCCGCAAATGCAATGGAAAGGTTTAAAGATTCCCTGAGAGATCTAGGAGGGTGCATACTTGAAGGTATGAGGACCCATTGTTCTGAAATAAATGTGTTCTTAGGAAATTTGCAATTTACAGCGGCATGGTTCGGTTAAATTTACGTTGACCAGGGCGTCAAATGTCTTCTTTTAAACAGATGAAATCGAAAATCCCCTCCACAAGGAAACCCCTCAGACAGTTGCAGCAAAGATCCGAGCTTGGCTTCACAAAAATGGGTCTCCGTATCTTATTTTTCAAAGGAGGTTGTGAAGCGCTCGCAAGGAACAGTGTCGGGATTGATCAACAATCCACCTTCGTCGTTTCCTACCAGCACCGGAAGGGAACCATGGAAGGCTATGACGGAATTTCTTCTATCAAAGACGAAACAAGACGAAGTTTCAGCCGCTCGGGCAGCCCATAAAGGTAAAATGTTTGGTCCTTGTAAAATTATTATCGGTATAATCAGTTAATTTTTTTAAACCACTGATGGAAATACACGGCATTAACACAGCGTTAACACCCTTTAACAGGACGTAAACAAACCGGGAAACAATGCCAACCCTCAGAGGCAGAGCCTGTGGTGAAGAAGACCAGAAAAGTCTTCGACAAGGCCGAACTTGCTGCTATGGATGCCGTATACACGGCTTCTAACGGACTGCCAGATTCGTCTATGATTGAGAGACTGGCAAACTCCTTCCTGGTGGAAAAGGAACAGGTATGACACTAGAAAAGAGTTTATACTTACTCTTGGGCTTCGCTT